TGAGTGTCTGACACTTCTTGATGGATTGATTTGGTTGCACAGTTTGCAGCGTTTTGTATTGCAGGGTTTGCTTCCACTATTTCTGACCTCATAATCAGAAGGAAGTTTCCTACTGATTAGTTTATTTCTGAGGTTGGGGGGTTGTCTGAAGGCCAGTATTGGGGGTTGCTGGAATATTTCTTTCAGAGTTCCATCCTCTGTTATGATGGGCACTTCAAGCAAAATGGAAGATTCTGCAACTCCAACAAATCTTGGTGGGTGTTGAGATCCTGTAGTCTCTGTCCCAAAAGCAGCTTAAATTGTAAAGTCCCAACCACAGAATTATAGAATATGATCATACTGTAAGGAAGCCAATGAAAGGAGACCTGTCCTACGCTGACACCACTTTTTGAAAATGCAAAATTTCAGGCAGTACCAACATTAATATAGCTGGGTAGTTCTGCCATTGACACCAGTTCTGGGGGTTATCATTGTGTGTAATGACACCAATGTTGCGGGTTATTATTGTGTGCAATGACATCAATGCTGGGGGTTATTATTGTGTCCAGTGACACCAATGCTGGGGGTTATTATTGTGTCCAATGACACCAATGCTGTGGGTTATTATTTTGTCATATGATCAATGTTGGGGGTTATTATTGGGTCCAAAGACACCAATGCCAGAGGTTATTATTGTGTCCAAAAACACCAATGCTGAGGGTTATTTTTTCCAATGACACCAATGCTGGGAGTTATCATTGTGGCCACTGACACCAAGGCTGGGGGTTATCATTGTGTCCAATGACACTAATGGGAGGTTTTATTGTGTCTAGTGACATCAGTGTTGGGGGTTAGTATTGTGTCCAATGACACTAATGGGGTTTTTTATTGTGTCCAGTGACATCAGTGTTAGGGGTTATTATTGTGTCCAATGACACCAATGCTGGGGGTTATTATTGTGTCCAATGACACCAATGCTGGGGGTTATTATTGTGTGCAATTACATCAATGCTGGGGGTTATTATTGTGTCCAATGACACCAATGCTGGGGGTTATTATTGTGTGCAATGACATCAATGCTGGGGGTTATTATTGTGTCCAATGACACCAATGCTGGGGTTATTATTGTGTCCAATGACACCAATGCTGGGGTTATTTTGTCATATGATCAATGTTGGGGGTTATTATTGGGGTCCAAAGACACCAATGCCAGGGGTTATTATTGTGTCCAAAAACACCAATGCTGAGGGTTATTTTTTCCAATGACACCAATGCTGGGAGTTATCATTGTGGCCACTGACACCAAGGTGGGGGGTTATTATTGTGTCCAATGACACTAATGGGGGTTTTTATTGTGTCCAGTGATATCAGTGTTGGGGGTTAATATTGTGTACAATACCATCAATGTTGGAGGTTTATTGTGTCCGATGACATCAATGTTGGCGGTTATTATTTTGTCCAATAACACCAATGCTGGGAGGTTTCTTTGTGGCAACTGACACAAAGGCCGGGAGTTATGTCCAATGACACCAATGCTGAAAGTTATTTTGTCCAATGAAACCAATGCTGAGAGTTATCATTGTGGCCAATGACACCAAGGCAGGGGGTTAATAATATGTCCAATGACACCAATGTCGGGGGTTAATTTTGTGCCCAATGACACCAAAGTTGGGGGTTAATCTTTTGTCCAATGATACGAATGCCGAGGGGTATCATTGTGTCCAGTGAGGATCTGTCTTAATTTTAATCACCTGAGCTCATTCCAGTGTTCTAATGAGTGTAGCTCCGCTATCTGTATTTTGGATGTCCGTGACTTGTATCTTCATGAACACTTTGGAGAAAACCAGTTAGCCAATCACACAAGGAGACAATTCTGGGGGCGTTCTCTACACCAATCATACTGAATGTCTCTACATTGCCATATTGGAAGGAAGAATATTTGATGGTTGCAGAAAATAATCGAATAAACTTGAAAGGAAAACTTTAATAACATTTAAATGAAAAACGGCTGAAGTTGCAATTATATGTTATATTCGTTTAACCCCCCCCCCCCCCCCATGGTCCCCGACATCACTTTCAATGGTTCTGGACTCCTGAGTGGCGGGAAGGATTGGCGATCATGTGACCACTGATTGGCGGTCACATGATAAGGAGCCAGTCCCGCCAGCTAGCGATTGTTAGTGGGAGCCGAGAGCAGTCTTTAAAAGCTTGGTCTCTGTGCTGGGAGCGCACTATCAACACACGAACATCAGCTGCACAGTGATATGGGTGGTAAAGTCCACTCTTTTGCCACCACATGATACACAGGCAGCAACAGGTTAAAACTCCAGGCAAACATATAAATACACAGATGACATACTTAGATGGGAACTTTTGTACCTGCCAAAGGATTTGTATTTCTGTCCATCCAGTCCTAAGAGTTACACTGCTCTTGCACACAGCACAATCTTATATAGTAGGGCAGGAGACCTGATACAGTTAGGTCCATATATATTTGGACACATACAATTTTCATACTTTTGGCTCTGTATGCCACCAGAGTAAATAAAAAACTAAACCATCCAAATGTATTTGAAGTGCAGACTTTCAGTTTTAATTCAAGGGGTTGAACATAAATATCAAGAACAAATTTTAGGAACTGCAACCATTTTTTATACACAGTCCCTCCATTTTCAGGCGCTCAAATGTAATTGGGAAAATTGAATATAATCCTAAATAAAATGTTCATTTTTAATATTTTGTGAAGAATCCTTTACAGGCAATGACTGTCAGGTCTGGAACCCGTGGACATGACCAAAGACTGGGTTTCCTCCTTTCTGATGCTTTGCCTGAAGTCTGGAACCCGTGGACATTACCAAAGACTGGGTTTCCTCCTTTCTGATGCTTTGCCTGAAGTCTGGAACCCATGGACATGACCAAAGACTGGGTTTCCTCCTTTCTGATGCTTTGCCTGCAGTCTGGAACCCATGGACATGACCAAAGACTGGGTTTCCTCCTTTCTGATGCTTTGCCTGAAGTCTGGAACCCATGGACATGACCAAAGACTGGGTTTCCTCCTTTCTGATGCTTTGCCTGAAGTCTGGAACCCGTGGACATGACCAAAGACTGGGTTTCCTCCTTTCTGATGCTTTGCCTGAAGTCTGGAACCCATGGACATGACCAAAGACTGGGTTTCCTCCTTTCTGATGCTTTGCCTGCAGTCTGGAACCCATGGACATGACCAAAGACTGGGTTTCCTCCTTTCTGATGCTTTGCCAGGCTCTAACTGCAGATATCTTCAGTTATTATTTGTGGGTGTTATCTGCCTTTAGTTTTGACTTCAGCAAGTGAAATGCATGCTCAATGGGGTGGAGATCAGGCGATTGACTCGGCTATTGCAGATTATTCCACTTCTTTTCCTTCAAAAGTTGCTGGGTTGCTTTTGCAGTGTGTTTTGGATCATTGTCCATCTATACAGTGAAGCGCCATCCAATCAACTTTGCTGCATTTGGCTGAATCTGGGCTGACAGTAGATCTGTAAACACTGCAGAATTCATCCGACTGCTTCTGTCATATCATCAATAAACACCAATTACCCAGTGCCACTGGAAGCCATGCATACCCATGCCATCACACTGCCTGCACCATGTTTAACCACTTGCAGCCCACCTGCTGTTTTTAAACGGCAGGGCGGTGGTGGCACCCCAGGGGCGGGTTGCCATTCATAAAAGGTACCCGCTATTTCTAGTTGTGCCTGCTCCCTGGGAGCGCGCAGCACTGCGATCCGGTGCCCGCTATGTCCTCCGGACACAGTGAAACACCGATTGGACGGGACCTCTGTACGAGGTCCCGATCATGTGATCACTGACTGGCCAATCAGTGATCACATGCAAAGTAGTAAGCAAGATGTCACTTGTGACATCATTGCTTACTATGTGTGAAATCTGTGAATGATCACAGAGGTCACATGGTACAAGGCTATTCACAACAGCCTTGTACCATGTGACAAGCTGTGACCAATCACAGCTCACTCAGTACTTCTCAATGACTGCAAGAATGCAGACAGAGAAAGAGAAATGATTGCTTTTACATCCTATATGGGTGTAAAAGCAATCCGTGTAAAAAAAAAAAAAAAAAAAATCACCCCCCCCCCACTAGTACAGTGTCACCATGGTGACACTGTACTGCTAAGGTGACAGTATGTAAAAAAAAATATAAAAATAAATAAAAATGTAAAAAAAGTTTAAAAATTATAAATTTTTAGTTATAAACTAATTTGGATTTTTTTTTACTAAAAAGATAACGGAATAAATTTTGGCCAAGATTTATGAAATATTTGCAAAATTTTATAAAAAAAACACTTCAAAATTTTTGGACTTTATTCACATAGCAAAAAAAATAAAAATCCCAGCAGTGAATAAATACCACCAAAATAAAGCTTTATCTGTCTCAAAAAATGGTCAAAAATTTATTTGGGTAGTGTTGCATCACCGCGCAATTGTCATTCAAAGTGCAACAGCGCTGAAAGCTGAAATTTGCCCTGGTCAGGAAGGAGGTAAAAGTGTCCGGTCTGGAAGTGGTTAATATGTTTCGGTCTGAGATGGCGTTTAAAAAAAAAGCCTGCTGCAGTGCTCTCTAGACCAGGGCTTGACAGATTTGTTTTGAATCTAGGAGCCAGCTAAAAACATTAAGTCAGGTTTTCTCTTTTCTTTGTAGGGTGTATTGTCAGTGCCAAGGGCAAGACAAATTTTGGGTGACAAACGTCACACAATGCGATTTGTTGCATAATAAGTTTTAGGTGCCATTGAAAATAATGGTGCCTGAACCTGCGTTTTGTGATCACGGTTCTGCCTCAATCCAAAAACTCCCAGATGTGAATAAATCTGCCCTGGTTCACACATGCGATTCTGGATGAGTTTTAAAACTCAGATTCACATGACAGACTAGATATTATGTGCTTCTATCAAGGTGGATCACTCAGATGCGATCCATGCGCATTGTGCCATTACGAAAAGGGCCCTGTTAGAGTTTGTAGCGGTGTGTGCCAGACTTGCGAGCAGGGGCGGACTGACCATTTGGAAACTCAGGCAGTGCCCGAGGTCCCCCATGAGATGCCCCTGGTACCTTTCATAGGCTTTTTTGGGTGTGGTTTGAGTGTGGGCGAGGACACAGGGGCCCCATGATCCCCTATTGCTCGGGGGCCCCATGAGTTGTCAGTCCGCCCCTGCTCGCAAGTAAAACAGTAGCTTGCGGAGATGAGTGTTCACATAGGATTGCTATTGATAGGAGTTTTTGCATTGAAGTCAATGGGAAGCAGTGTGAACCTAAACACCAGGATGCAATTTCTAGGCAACCTGGTGCCTGGAATTTGTTGAGCCCCACTTTAGACTGCCCACAAGGCTCTGTCTCATGTGTACAAGCCTGTCTTGTGTGAGGCTCAATGGAGCGAAACATTTTATCAAGAAAATCGATGAGCTGATTAGTTGCAAATTGAGCCACATTGTCCTCAGCCAAGTTCCTGTGACAAGTTTACAGAACCGATGTGATTGAGACAAATTTCCACTCTAAACACATGGTCAGCTTTAACCACTTGACCCCTAAGCCAACTCTGACATTTCCCTCATTACATGTAAAAATCTGCAATTTTTTTTGCATAAAAATTACCTAGAACCCCCAAACATTTTTTTTTTTTAAAGCAGAGACCATAGTGGGTGTTGCAATTTTTATATGTCACACAATATTTGCACAGTGGTTTTTCAAATGCAAATTTTTTCAAAAATTTAAAGCTGAAAAAAAAGTCAGCAGTTACAAAAACTGTAGCTGCTGACTTTTAAAATACAGCCACTCACCTGTCCCTCGGTCCAGCGGTGTCCTCGCAACCGCTGGTTTCACCGGCCGTCTTCCCTTGGCATCTTTAGTGTGGGCACCCAGCTGTGACAGCTTGCTGCTTTATAGCCAGGTGCCCACTGTGCACACGTGAGAAGCGTTGCACTTTGTGAATGGCCCTTAGTCTTCTGGGACCTGTCACGTGTCCCAGAAGACTACAGGGGGAGGACAACTTCCACTTCCGATTGCCGGTGATCGCAGCAGGAGTGGGTACCTGTGAAATCCGGGTACCCGCTCCCCAAAGTTGCCCATCCGTAATGGGGAGCAGGGGACAAAGCATTAAAGAGAAACTTCTCCTTTTGGGTGGAGCTCCGCTATATTGAATTTTAGTGAACAGAAAACAAATACCCATTTTTTTTTTTTTTTGGTATAACATAAAAAACCGATAGGCTGAGTAAATAGATGCCAAACATGTCACGCTTTAAAATTCTACACTCTTGTGTAACGGTGACAAACTACAGTACAATACATCATCTATGGGCGACGCTTTGAAAGCCTTTACAGGTTATCAGGTCTGGTGCTAGAATTATTGCTGTTGCTATGATGTTCACGGCAATACCTTACATGTGTGGTGCAATCGCCATTTGTGCATGGGGGTACTTCAAATTCCTTAGTACACTATCTTTAATATTTTTTTTTTTTTTTTAAACAACTTTATTGCTATCATAAGGGATGAATAACATTCCTTGTGATCATATGGGCTGTGACAGGTCTTTTTTATGGAGGAACCTGGGGTCTATTAGAGACTGAGATCAGCTTGGATACTGCACAAGCCGATAATGGCTCGTCAACAAACAAAGTGAAACTGGAAGTGAAGAACCTCTCCTCCTGAAATAAAACCGGTACCTGGATCAGGGTTGTAGCATCAGCCATGATCCCGATATAACCACCTCAATACAAGGCTGTGTATATACATACATACACACACACACACACACACACACACACACACACACACACAGTTGTGTTCAAAATACTAGCAGTCAGACATCACTAACCGGATCAATCACTGTTTTTGGTAGAAATGATATTTCTACATGGCAAATAATTTCCTAGCAGGTGTAGTAGAGTAATAGAAATCCAACAGACATGACATGCATGCTGCTGATTCTGTGTAATTGGATCACTAATTGAAAGGGACATGTTCAATATAATAGCAGTGTGGAGTTCTATTAGTGAGGTCATTCATTCTTTGAAAAACAGGTGGCAATTATTGCCCTTATTTAAGGAAGGAAGGCAGCAAATGTTGTACATGCTGGTTACAGTGCATTTCTCTCTGAAATTCTGAGGAAAATGGGTCGTTCCAGACATTGTTCAGAAGAACAGTGTACCTTGATTAACCACCTCCCGCCCGCCATATAGTCCAATGAGGGGCGCAAGGTGGTTCTCTCGTTCTGATAGGCCGTCTTTTGACGTCCTTCCATTCCCACCGTGCATGTGCGGCTCAGGGAACGCGCAGCGCGGCAATCGGCGGTGCTCTGTGTCCCTTGGACACAGCGGATCACCGATCCGCAGACGGAGCCGAAGATGTTGGCTCAGTCATGTGATCAGCTGTGTCCAATCACATGTAAACACAGAAATGCCAGTTATCGGCATGCTGACAGCTCGAGAGGAGAGCCGGTAATCGGCATTCCGCGGAGGGGACATGTACACTGATCATCAGGGCACTGTCAGTGTCCATCAGTGCCAGCTGTCAGTGCTGAACAGTGCCATGTGCCAGTGCACATCAATGCCACATATCAGTGCCCATCTGAGCTGCCCTTCAGTGCCAGTCAGTACCACCCAACAGTGCCAGTCAGTGCCGCCTGTCAATGCCCATTAGTACCACCTATCAGTGCCCATCACTACAGCCTCATTAGTGCACATCAGTGAAGGAAAAAATCACTTATTTACAAAATTTTATAACAAACTAAGAAAAAAACTTTCAAAATGTTCACTGGTTTATGGTTTAAGAAAAAATAAAAAAAACCCAGAGGTGATTAAATACCACCAAAATAAAGCTCTGTCACAAAAAAATAAAAATTTAATATGGGTACAGTGTTGCATGACCGCACAATTGTCAAAGTGTGACAGCGCTGAGAGCTGGAAACTGGCCTGGGCAGGAAGGGGGTATAAGTGCCCTGTAGGCAAGCGGTTAAAAAGTTGATTGGAGAGGGGAAAACAAAGAAGTGCAGAAAATGATCGGCTGCTCAGCTAAAATGAACACAAATGCTTTAAAATGGCAACCAAAACCTGAAAGACGTGGAAGAAAGCAAAAAACTACCATTCGAATGGATAGAAGAATAGCCAAAATGGCGCGGACTCAGCCAACAATCAGCTCCAGGAAGATGAAAGAAGGTGTGACGTTCCCTGTGAGGACTGTTACAATTAGAAGACGCCTATGTGAAGCCAAGCTATCTGCAAGAAGTCCCCGCAAAGTCCCACTGTTGGAAAAAAGACATGTGCTGAAGAGGTTACAATTTGCCAAAGAGCACATTGACTGGCCTAAAGAGAAATGGCGCAACATTTTGTGGACTGCTGAAAGTAAGATTGTTCTTTTTGGGTCTAGTGGGCGGAGACAGTTTGTCAGACGACCCCCAAACACTGAATTCAAGCCACAGTACACTGTGAAGACAGTGAAGCATGGTGGTGCAAGCATCATGATATGGGGAGGTTTCTCATACTACGGTGTTGGGCCTATTTATCGCATACCAGGGATCATGGATCAGTTTGAATACATCAGAATACTTGAAGAGGTCATGCTGCTTTATGCTGAAGAGGAAATGCCCTTGAAATGGGTGTTCCAACAAGACAACGACCCCAAACACACCAGTAAACGGGCAACATCTTGGTTCCAGACCAACAAGATTGACGTTATGGAGTGGCCAGCCCAATCCCCAGATCTTAATCCAATAGAAAACTTGTGGGGTGACATCAAAAATGCAGTTTCTGAGGCAAAACCAAGAAATAGAGAAGAACTGTGGAATGTGGTCCAATCATCCTGGGCTGGAATACCTGATCACAGGGGCCAGAAGTTGGGTGACTCCATGCAACACAGATGTACAGCAGTTCTCAGAAACAGTGCGACTACAACCAAATATTCATGAAGTCATTCAAAGGAAAGCAAAATCTTCAAACATTTATACATCAGTTTATATAGTGAATGTTTGAGTTTGTAAAGAAGAATACAAACACTGTGATTTTTTTGAACCGTCTAATATTCACTTTTCTTCAATTTTTTTTTTAGAGGAACAACACAAATTTGATGTATTTTTCTTCATGTTTTGATTTGGAATAGAATGTGTCGTGTTCCCAATGCATTTGTGTGGATGGAAATAAAAGCTATTAGAAGGATTGAGCTTTATTCACTTTTTTCAACACACTGCTATTATATTGAACACAACGGTATATATTTTCACTTTATATTATAATTATCAGATTGATTTTTGGACAGGAGTTATGGAATATTTTGGTTTAATATGTTCATTGATTTAGTGGAGTGCGGCACATCTTTTAAAACTGCTAAACAGTTTCCATCGTTCAGAAGTGTCCCGTGTACATAGAGCCTAACGCGGTCACTGTACTAGTGGCACTGGCTGAGAAGGGATAAACACCTAGGGGCAACCAAACTGTAACCGTGTGCCCAACAATGTGTGAAATAAGTGCTGCTTTTAACCTCCCTGGCGGTATGATTATTTCATATTTTTGGTGCTGAAAGCGGTACAATTATTTTGCATGGAAATATGTAGTTTTTTTTATTGTAGGCTGTAATTTTTAGGAATAACTCACTGAAATCTGAACAAGATTCTAAATCATACATTTAATTCAATACAATCAAACCAAAAACACTGAAATGTGAAATATAGCGCCAAGTTCGCACATCACTGAGCAAAGTCGCAGAATCGTTTTCAGTGTCCGATGACGAATTTCCCCCATGAATCATTATCACTCAATTCTGCAAGTGGTTCTGATTTACTATCGCTGTTCTCTAGCCGGTCTAAACCCGCTTTTGACATAAAGGGACACTTTTTGGACGCCATGGACTTTTCTAAGTTTCCAGGCAGAAAGAACAATCAAAATGCAGGCAGGGCGCAGGACAAAGCACTAGGGACAAAATGTATGTGAAATGGGTTGAAACAGCAATGTTTTACCATGTAAAATCGCTTTGAAAAAAATGACTTTTTAAATTTTCAAATTTCGCGGCGCCCGTACGTCCCGACGTCACAGGGACCGGAACACAGAAGCCGGATGCCGGCATCAGACGGAGGAGATGGCCGGGGGACACATCGCGGGAGCGAAGGACAAGGTAAGTGCTGCAGGGACTCCCTATACAGCGCCGCATGGTAAGCCCGAGTGTAGATCGGGGTTACCGCTTTTGGTACAGACATTTTACCCCGAGCTACACTCGAAAATACCTTTAGGGAGGTTAATAGATGTGGCCATTTTTTTCTCCCTGCTTTGCAGAGACCAGCCACATCGCTGCTGTGTGCTGTCACTGGACATGGCCGATCAGCAGGTCCCAGTCATCAATCATTGGCCGGGACCTGCTGCCAAACATCTTTTGTAGCAAATCAGCACACAGAAGGGCTAGGCGGGAGTGCACCATCTGCATGTGATGAAGCCCAGCCACGGCACCTGCCTGTACTGTGCATGGCGTGCAAGCGGTTAAAATACACACAATTTTGTAATGGATAAAAATCGATAATTCCAGGCTACTAAAAGATCATGTAAATCGAGCTTTCAATACATATCCTCAATTCGCAGCACCTTACCACAAACCATAAAATAAAAGTTCAGGACAAATGACTACAGATCGGACTAGGTAACACTGTTATGGCTTTATTTCAAAAACAAAAGTTGCACATTTAAGAGAATTCAAAAGTAACTGATCACACTATATACATACTGCCATAAAAGAGTATCTCAAATAGGACAAATCCCCCTCTGCAAATATAAAAACCCCACCCTTATAGATTTCCAAAAAGAAAAAAAAAAAAAAAAATTAAACATTTAATCTGAAGGCCGACATAATGAGTGTCTAAAACGTTTTTTTTTTCCTTCCAAGATGCATTAAAATGGCTTACATGTTACAACATAAGTTATAGATTTTTTTGGTATATGTATATATTTATATATGTATATATAGATAGATCTCACACCAGGCCTAAGTTGGATTTTTAAGAAGCATACAGCAGCCATGCATCTGTGTGCTAACACCAGTAGAGGACTATGAGTTTTGCCCTGGTTTTTATTACAAAAAAAGGAAAAAAAAAAACTGCACTGATACGAAAAAGGGAGGAAAAAACCTTCAGAAATCCTATATTTTATGATTGAACAGAAGGACTGCACTACTGTAGTCTGCAGAAACACAGAGACAAGCAATGACTGGGCTAAATCTCGCTCTGCCACCCCATGGTCATTCTATAGAATGGCAATGGCTTAAAACATGAGTCAAGACTCCAAATATTTGTATTGAAGGAATATGGGGGGGGGGGGGGGTACACCACAGGCTGGGGCAGGGAGCCAAACAAATCTTAAGCATTCTGAGTATCATCCAGGGATAATTTATAAGAAACGAAGATGAAAACTACAGAAGAGCTAGTCATACCTTGGTCAATTGCTCGCAAGCCAAGCTTTCAGATAAGAAAACAGACTTGTTGGTTGGCACAGATTTCCATTTTCCTGCACAAACGGAGCAAATCAATAGAACGTGTGAATTGTGCTTTCCCTGCAAAGTACGTAGCAAACTGCAAATTACATTTTCTTATCTCTACAATTCGAGCATCATAGCAATTGTACAGCCATTTACAAACACTAACAATGTGGATCATTGCTGCCAAGCGCAGGTCAGTCTCCGACTCATCTAAAGCCAGCCATAGATGGATCAAATCTTAGCAGGTTCAGCGGGGACCGGCGGAGATTTAATCTATGGGCAGGCTGGTTGTGCTGAAGTTGATCCATCAATCGACTTTGGTACAACCAGCATGTTGGATTTTTTTTTTTGCATGCAATTACCATCGGCGGTTATAGCCACCAGCAGTGATTGTATTTTGCTGGCAGGGAATGTTCCCTGCTGGCAGACCACAATGCCGTGGGAGAGATTCCCCCATCAACACTGACTGTGTTGATGGGGGAATCAAGTGAATCACAGGTTGAAAAGAAAATTGCATCATCTATGGGTCAGTGCTTTCTTTACATGAGCACAAATCTTTTGCAGCTGGCCAGAGTCAGATTTTGCTTAGATGTGATCCGTTCGATCAGCAAACGTCACCTACAAAGCAGTGTGAGGTCCTCAATGTTAGAAAGGGGGGGGGGGGGAATATAATATATATATATATTATATATAACATTTATTTATTTTTAAATAGGAAGGCCTTCACCTCATCTACCTGTAGGCCTGAACTTACAGCAGTCTATAGACCTGCCTGTTTATATAGTCCAATGATTTGATTAGCAACTATTGCAGCAGTCTATCCAAATCAAACCTAAATATGGACACTTTAAACATTTGATCCGATAAAGCAACAGTTGTAAGTGCAATTGACCGATAACTATGTAATGCAAGAAGCTACCCAAACCCCCTTTCACATTGACTGCTTTTGTTCTGTGAACTGATCCCCTGCTGACTGGTGTAGACGATACATCCATCTACCCCACACAAACAGGCCCCGCTCTGCTCTATGGGTGGCTGGGAGTAACCTGAATCTGCTGTCAGTTTATATGCAGCTGCCTCCAATCCGGTCCTTCCATTTTTTTTTTTTTTTTTAGCGGGCCTGATTGGACCCAGAGGCAGGCAAGTGTAAACAGACAAGTCAATTTTACCACAGACTATCCATAGGAATGCATGGACCTTCCAATCAGTTTCACCTTTAAAAACCCCCACAGGTGGACCTGATCGGATCGCCCGTGTGAAAGGACCCTAAGGCTAGGTTCACATCTGTGCGGGTGCCGCCGCCGTGGAACCGCACGAAAATCTGTGCGGCCGCACCACCCGCAGAGAGGACTGCAGACGAGCGGGCGGGTACCACTAGTTCTAATGGCATGCCACCCGTACTGGAAAAACGCAAACGTACTGAGAACAGAGGTTCCTGTGCGGGCTGCAGTTTCCAAAGAAGTGCAGGGACTTCTTCCCTGTGTGTCACGAGGCACAGGAGTCCATTCAAATGCATGGGCTCTCCTGCCCACGCAAAATGTGGCCCACACGGCCGCATATGTGAACCGGGGGTAAAAACAATTTGATTTGTTTGTACACAGGTAGGCATCTGCTTTGCACAGCTGTTTGTAATCGTGGCTGAAAAAGCAGATCAAATGTAAAAAAAAAAAAAAAAAAAAAAAAAAATTAAAAAAATTGTGTAGCTGGCTTTAGGCTCTGTATATACAAGCCTTCAATATGTGAAAGAGTAATGTGTACAACAAGCTGCGATGAAGCCTTTTAAAACAGTTCCAGAAAGTAAATATTGAAAGGAGATCTATGGTCACAGCATAGAAATTTGTACAAACATATGCTTACTTTCATGTTGTGAGCTCTGACTGTCTGCAGGCCGTCTTTCCACAATTTCCTGGATTCCATGCATGCTTTGCAAATTCTCCTTTGCTTTTAACTTTCTATTTCTAAGGACTACGTATCCCATGGTACCTGCAAGCACTGATTCCTGTACTGAGTCCTGAAACTCCTCAACGCCTCTGTAGTTCAGAAGGCAGGCTCTGAAATGCGTGAATTCAAGAAAGTAAAATGTGTGGGGATCTATATCAAGTTTACAGACTTTGAGATTATACAGATTAAGGTCTCATATACAGAGCTTAAGTAAACGGCACTATTTCTGGCAGAATGTGGCAGCATTTCACCATAGACCAGACTTTACATGTAGATCTTAATGGTGGTGCTGTCCCTTTAAACAAGTTGCTAGCAAGCTTTGAACATACTTCAAGTAGTATGCTAGCAACCAGCACTTTCATTAATATCTATGTGCAACATCCCCATACTTAGGCTGAAGGAGGTGCTTTAACCCATTGGCAGCAAGGCAGAGTTTCAGTGCCAGTTCACACTCGCACGCTGTGCAGGAAACCCACGTTAGATGCATGTTTCCTGCACTGCGTTCAAAACATTACAATTGCAATCTGCAGCAGGTGTCAATATAAAAGTTATAGACTCCACAAACGCAGGTCGCAAACGCAGTCTGTTTGCCTGCACCAGAATGCATGGTACAAAAGTACCATGGGATGCAGGTGCAGACAGTTTTCAAAAGTACTGCATGCAATATTTCAGGCTATTTCAAATTAAATCGCACTGCAGACCTGCATATAAACACGCAATGCATGTGATTTCGGGTGTGAACCGGCCCCAACAAACCTTCATGGCTGACAATCTGGCTGTCTGCTTTCAGATGGAAGCAATCTGATGGCTGATCATTTCAACAAAACCCCCAAATAACTTAAAATATAACTAAAAGGCAAAACTTTTTTATAGTTGGGGTTAGAGAGGAGCAGGAATAGAACCAGTCAGGTATTTTTTGCGGTTGGTGTCCCCGGTAAGATTCACCCTCTCTATATGTTCTATTTACCGTTATTGAAAGTGAAAGCAAAAGAAAACCCCAAATTTCTGGTTTTCCCCAGAGAAGAGGGGAAATTTTCCAATGGGGACACTAGTCCTGGTGACCTGGGTGGCCCCATAGAATTCCCTTAATTTGCAAGGATTTCCCCCCACTGCCTGTTTCTCTATGGAACAAAAAAAAAAAAAAAAAAAGTATAATATATATATATATATATATATATATATATATATATATATATATATATATATATATATATATATATATATATATATATGGGTTATAACCCTCCTTTGAAAACAGAAAAAAAAATTTTGCCTAAAGTTTTACATTAAGTGTATTTCTTTTAAACAGTAAAATTCGTAAAATACTGTTAATATATAAAAACCGTTTGGACTATCACCAAATTTTCCCCCTTCTTCAGAAAATATGTTTTGGGGTTTTAAGTAATCTCCAGGCCCAAAAATTTGTTAAAACGTGTGCAAAAAAATTTGCAAAAAAAAAAAAGCTTTTGCAGCAAGAGTTAACACCTTTAAAGCTGCATGCAACTGGCCTGAAAGCTTTGAAATGGCTTTATAAAAGCTTGATGTACACACTTCTCTTAGACAGGCGGAGAGACTTTGAATACAAACACTTGAGGCAAGAATGATCAATTCCATATAGAAAAGCCTTTGGGAGAGATTTACTAAAATGGGTACAGCTGTGCATAGTAGCCAATCAGCTTCCAGGTTTTAGGCTAGGTTCGCATGTGTGGGTGGTGCGGCTGCGGATCCGCATGAAAAACCGTGCGGCCGCACCACCCGCACTGGAAAACACAACAGTACTGGGAACTGAGGTTTCAGTGCGGGCTGAGTTTTCAGAAGAGGTGCATGGGAGTCCATTTAAATGAATGGGCTCTCGTGCCCGCACGGCCGCATATATGTGAACCAGGGGTTACTGTCAAAGTTTAATTGAGCAAGATGAAGTTAGAAGCTGACTGGTTACTGTGCACAGCTGCACCATTGTTAGTAAATCCCCCAATGGCTGGGTTAATTTGCAAAACTACCAGCTTGCCCTGCATATTACAGAGATTGTCTCAATAAGTTCTTGATTCGGAGTATCCCTGAAACTATATGGTGTAAATATTCGAAGACCCCAACTCTTCATTGCAAACATAAATATAGGTGGCAATTTTATACAGCAAGGTGTAAGGACGGTGGCACATGACTGAGGACGCTTAGGAAAACACTTTAGAAGCTTGAGCTATTGAGGAACACAGACCTGTTGTGCAGCTGCTGGGAAGGGCATACTATAACAGAGGGGCATCAACAACTTATGTAACCTAAAGACAGGAATTGCCTTTCCCCGATCACAGCAAAGTGAAAAGCAATTGGCTGCCATAGGTTTGTTAAGGTTGAATGAATACATCTGGGCACCTTCCGCAGGCCAAGCATCACATGCTAGCTTTAAAACAATCCATCTATGTAATAAACAGGAGGTGCGATTTATTATGCTTTTCCACTATGTTGTAGCATTTGACCAGTTTTATTTTTAATCATAAATAAGTGACTGATGGTAGAGCTTGCTAATGCCATTGTTTTCTTTACTTTGTATTAAGAACAAACTTTGCACAAGGAGCCATGTTTGTCTTTTAAAAATTCAGGATTTGTATTTAATAGTCATACGGATTAACCTCTTCATTCCCCAAGGAGCCTGCTATGCCTCTGGGACTCGAAAGGCAGTGCAAAAGGAAATTCAGAAAGACATTTATTCTATGGAGGATAGCTAATAAAGGATCTTAATGTCTTAACTGGAATGATAAAAAGGGCACAAAAATTGTAAAAACCACACCTTTTTTTTCCTATAAAAAGTTACATGTTAAATTCTGTAGGGACATCTATTTTACAGGTACAGACACACATCTGCATTATCGCTCTATTATCAACCCCGGGGGCTCAAAGACTGGTCCTAGCGTCCCACATATGGCGCTTCAATCCTCGTCTTCATCGCCTTCATCTTCTGCTTCCCGCTTTCTTTTCTCACCGCGTTCTACTGCTTCCTCTTCTTCTGGGGAAGAAAGCATGAAGATTAGAAAATACATTTCATAGACAAATCACACGTATCATTTACACAAAATGTGAAGTGATAAAATCCACCTCATCTCTGGCAGAAAGTTTTTGGTGTATTTTCAGCACCTGTAAAGTTGTACCTTGAAGCTGAACTTCAGCTAAAGTATTTTTAAAGCTGAACTCCAGGCAGAACCTTTTAAAAACTACAGTGAAGAATATAAGTATTTGATCCCCGGCTGATTTTGAATGTTTGCCCACTCACAAAGAAATGATCGGTTAAAAATCAATTGGTAGGTGTATTTATGACAGAATAGCAACAAAAAATTCAAAAGAAATTCATGTCTAACAAATGATGACTGATTTGCATGTTCATGAGGGAAATAAGTATTTGATCCCCTTCACAAAACATGACTTAGTACTTGATGGCAAATCCCTTGTTGGCAATCACAGAGGTCAGATGTTTCCTATAGTTGGCCACCAGCTTTGCACACATCTCAGGAGGGATTTGGCCCACGCCTCTTGGCAGATCCTCTTCAAGTCCTTGAGGTTTGGTGGCTGATGTTTGGTCTCTTGAACTTTCAGCTCCCTCCACAGATTTTCAATCGGATTAAGGTCTGGAAACTGGCTAGGCCACTCCAGGACCTTAATGTGTTTCTTCTTGAGCCACTCCTTTGTTGCCTTGGCTGTGTGTTTTGGGTCATTGTCATGCTGGAACACCCATCCATGACCCATTTTCAATGCCCTGGCTGAGGGAAGAACGTTTTCACCCAAGATTTAAATGGTACACTGCCCCGTCCATCGTCCCTTTGATGCGGTGCTGTTGTCCTGTCCCCTTAGCAGACAAAACCCCCAAAGCAGAATGTTTCCACCACCATGTTTGACAATTGGGATGGTGTTCTTAGGGTCATAGGCAGCATTCCTCCTCCTCCAAACACGGTGAGTTGAGGTCAAAGAGCTCGATTTTGGTCTTATCTGACCACAACACTTCCCACCAGTCGTCCTCTGCATCACTCAGATGTTCAGTGACAAACTTCAGACGGGCCTGGACATGTGCTTTCTTGAGCAGAGGGACCTTGTGGGCACTGTAGGATTTCAATCCTTGTCGGTGTAGTGTGTTACCAATTGTTTTCTTGGTGACTGTGGTCCCAGCTGCCTGGAGATCATTGACAAGATCCTCACGTGTAGTTCTGGGATGATTCCTCACTGTTCTCATGATCATTGACACTCCACGAGGTGAGATCTTCCATGGTGCACCAGACCTAGGGAGACTGACAGTTTTTTTGTTTCTTCCATTTGCGAATTATTGCACCATCTGTTGTCACCTTCTCACCAAGCTGCTTGGCGATAGTTTGGTAGCCCAGTCCAGCCTTGGGTAGGTCTACAATCTTCCCTGACATCCTTGGACAGCTCATTGGTCTTGGCCATGGCAGAGAGTTTAGAATCTGACTAATTGTTCCTGTGGACAGGTGTCTTTTATACAGGTAACAAAATGAGATTAGCAGCACTCCCTTTAAGAGACTTCTTCTAATCTCAGCTTAACTGTATGAAAGACACCTGGTAGCCAGAAATCCTGCTAAATGATAGGGGATCAAATACTTATTTCCCTCATGAACATGCAGATCAATCATCATTTGTTAGACATGCATTTCTTTTAATTTTTTTTGTTGCTATTCTGTCTCAGTATTACAATACACCTACCATTCGATTTTTAGACTGATCATTTCTTTGAGTGGGCTAACATTCAAAATCAGCAGGGGATCAAATACTTGTTTCCTTCTTCACTGTACATTCAAACCTTTGTGATGTGTTCAGTGTGCTGTGATAGGAAAGCCCAATTAATTTGAATGGGCTTCCTAGTGCACTAAAATAGGTGTATGTAATTTAACCACTTGCCAATCAGATAGCCGAATGATGGCTTCACTGCCGGCATCATATGACGACCTCCCAGAACACACCCTCCCGCACATCCCCGGGGGCGAGCACCTGGCGATCTCCACGATCGCTGTGTCCTACGGACACAGCTGATCATGTGATGTGGTAAAAGGCCAATCACAGCAGCCTTTTACCACGTGATCAGCCGTGTCCAATGACAGCAGATCACCAGTAAATGCAGTTGCCGGATAACGGCTGCACTTTCCTCACACTGTCACAGACAGTTGTCAGAGGACGGATCGGCACCGATCAGGGCACTGATGGGCAGTGCCCACCTGTGCCGCCCAATCAACACACATCAGTGGAGAAAAATTACCTGTTTGCAAAATTTAATAGAAGAGAAACTTTGTACAAAATTTTTGCTCTTTTTTGTTTACAGCACGAAAAACACCCAGCGGTGAGTAAACCCCAAAAGAAAGCTATTTGTCAGGAAGCATACAGAAAGTCTTCCTCACTGGCTGTCACTGTTGGTTTTTAAATGCAATTGCCGTCTTTCCCTGGAGATAAAAGGAAACTCTTATCTTGGGAAATAAACTAAAAAGGAAACTTTCTTTCAAGCTGGGGGGAAGCGACAGCTAATTCTGTGAGCTATAGTGAAGGGAAAAAAAAAAAAAAAAAAAGAAGGACGGAAATTACTTTTAAAAACCGGCACAGACAGTGGCAGCCAATCGATGTATACACTGCTCCTCTCCTGCCTCTCTCAACCCCCCGGCACATCTGCAGTACACAGTCCCCTGTATCGGCTACATTTTTCCTATCGGCAAAATGCTGATAGGGTATTTTCAGCCGATGTTTCGGTGGCCAAAATTTCGGTGCATCCCTAAAAACCACCATCGGTGCTTAGTGGAATGAGGTGTAGAGAAGGCGCCACTGAGTGCAGACCAATACACTATTGAAAAATAGCTGTGAAAACACACATTTGTGAAGATATATACACAGTCACACCGGCAGGCTATAGGGATATTCCAGGACTGGTGTGGATTATATCCAAAAACTGGGTCCATACACAGCTGTGAGATGAAGTAAGGCTGGATTGCGGCTGTAGAGTGTGGTGGAACGCAGAGTTCGATGTGACGTTTCGGAGCATGCGCACCAGCTACTGGGGCGCACTCCTTTCTCAAGCTTCTTGACATGTAGCTTGTGAAAGGAGAGCATCCCCATAGCAGGTGCGCATGTTCCAAAATGTCATTACATCACTTTGAACGCTGCGTTCCACCAATCTCTACAGTGGCAATCCACCCCTGCTTCATCTCACAACTGGCTCTGGACCCAGTTTTTGGATATCCTCCACCCATTTATTATTGTCCCAAATGTGAATGCGTATTCCCAGCCTGCAGCTTTCTGGGACAAAAATCACAGGTCCCAAAAGGCTGCAGGACCACTCCCAAAGTGCAGCCGGCTGTGAAGCAAGTCACAGCCAACTGCCCAAAGTTTAGATGCCGGCACCAGGGACTGAAGATCGGAGAACAATCTAGCACGGGTGAGAATAGTGCTGGCTCATGGGATAGGCAAGAGGCTAAGTAAATTCAGCAGCAACAGTTTTGCTGCTTTTTTTTTTTTTTTTTTTTTTTTTTTTTAAACACCGGTCACTGCAGATCCTCTTTAAAGGTTTAATTTCATACCTTCTTCATCCTCCTCTTCCTCTTCTCCCTCACCACCATCCTCAACATAATCATCGTCATCCTCTTCATCCTACAGAGGAAAAAAAAATATGGGGCAGTCTATAAACTTAGCAAGTTTCCTAATTTTCCTTTCATAAAATAGTCTATTAGAACAGATCATCGCACTGCAAGCAGTGTATCTGTCATAGGACAGGCGTACATGGGTACCTGAAAGGCACCCAAGCTGTGCCTACCTTTAAATGTGCTCAGCTCAATAACAGCAGGAGTTTCAGAAGCCCTAGTACCTGGTGTTATTAGAGTTCAAAAAACACAGATAGAATTATTTCAGGACACCCTAGGCTCACACAAAGTTCACCATCAGTCACCCAGAAAGGACCACTGCTTGACTAGAGCATGTGTAAGTTGGTCCTGGAATGTGGACAGCAGTATGGCAATCTCAACCAAAATCGGGCTGTACCACACACACACTTCCAATTCGTCCAAGCAGTGCAAGCTAAGTCTAAATACTATATGAAAAAAGCAGCTAGCCTGTCAAATCAGACACAAAAAAACCCCCCCCAAAAAAAACCCAAAAAACTTAGAAAGAACGTGCGTTTACAGACACCCAAAATGAGGCACCCTGGGTTTGAAAAGTCCCTGGGTCCCACAGAAGTTGTTAAACTATGTGCCGACCAAAAAAAAAAAAAAAAAAAAAAAAAGGCTTTCAATTTCATGTTTCCTAGAAAACACTCAGGTGATACTGAAAGCAAAAGTGGTTCTTGGTGAGCCGGTATAAAGATTCTGAAGAACCACAGAATGTCTGATGTATAAAGAGCAGGACAGGTGCTGTATACACAGATGGGACAGACTGAACTTACATGTATCTCTTCTTTCATTAAATAGGATAGCCCAACTTCCTCTTCCTCCTCCCCCAAGTCGGATTCACCCTCCTCCTCGTCTTCCTCCTCATACTCTCCCGGAGGGCCGGCCTCATCCTCATCTTCAGGATATTCGTATTCTTCACACTCTTCACAACAAAAAAAAAGGACAACGTATTAAACTACATGTACTCTGTCTGAACAATGCATTGTTGAACAGTCTCATTTCCGGATTCATTTCAACCTATGTCATACAGTGTGCACGTATGTCACATTACCAGGATGACTTTGAATGCACTTTTTACTTGTGTAACTTAAACGATCATTCGGTGGACGTGCAGCTTTGTACATTCCAAATCTGACACTTACCGAACACAAAAATAGGACTGCTTACATTCTACCATGCATTATACTACAAGATCACATCAAAGGTTTGATACTGCAAAGCCCAGTAATGATTTACATACGCGTTTACAGTTAACCACTTCCCAACAGACGCACGTATATATGCAGGCCTCCGGGCAGGTGGGTATTAAATGCAAATTTGCCACATCTTAGCATCAATAAAGAGTTAGAGTTAAGCGTGCCGATGACGAGTGAGCCCACTGTGCGCTCCCAGTAAGGCCACTAGATTGACACGGAAAGCTCCCGAAGCATACTTGCGATTGGGAGATTTCGATTAGGTGACCACAGTACAGCCAATCGCAGTGGTCACATGATTGGAATGCCATCTCGATCCTCTCAAAAGGGGAAGAGGTGGCAGCAGAAAGAAGTCAAAGCAAAGGGATTCACCTTTTACAATATGAAAGTCTAAACTTCATGCACTTGCAGACAATGCCAGTCGAGGAGGACAAGCCAAATGAGGTGTAAATCCCATAGCTATGATGGCCTACAAGTTTGAGACCCTTACTATACTGACGCCAGTCCATAAGGCTTTTAGTATCAGCTTTGGTTCATCTGCACCACCAACCCAGCACCTTCACTTTGGAAAAAACAGGCCAACCTGACTGGCACCTATAGCAATGCAATAAGCAACAGACAGGAGTTTCTCTTATGCCGTGTGTGAAATTCTTCACGTCTGAGGCCTGGACACCTGGTAGTAAAATCTGTGCATGGTATTTCAGACTACAGGTGTCAAACAAACCTTCATCCTCCTCTTCAGAGTCAGGGGCTTCATTATCTTCCTGGTCAAAGCCATCCAAAAATGTAATTTGTGGAAGTTTGCAAAATATTTTGTCTCTATAATCTTCTATGTTGGTGATCTCACAATTAAAGAGGTCCAAACTCTTCAGATTTTTTAAATTTGTCTGCAAATAAGAAAAGTGCCCAAATCAGAAAAAAGACATTTACAAGTAAAAACAGCCAGTAAAATACTATATTAATCCAACAAGTGCTGAGGTTTTATACTTTTAGAAGCTAAAGTAAATCAAAGATGGCTGGGCTGATCTTATATAGACTATATACTAATATACAAGCACAGAAATACCAATCCATCACAAACATCTGGTAAAATAAACATCAAAATCGGTACACATGTGTCCCCGCAACATATCCACATTGGTTATGACAGGTCAACGTCAAATGATCCAATGCAATTTGATGTTTTTGGTGCTTACAAACCTTAACTTATTTTATCTGTTAACTGCTTCCCCGCCGCCCTATAGCAGATATACTACAGGGCGGCAGGGGTGCACAAAATTACATATATACACACGTGATTTTGCATTTCCATTCGTGGCTGTCCATCAGAGTCCAGAACGGTGATTACCGAGGATCTCAGACAAGGAGGAGGGCTGCTTTGTTTACCAACAGTTCTCCCTGTCAGCTCGGGCACATTGCTCAGCCATCTAGAGCAGTGTGCTTACAGTGAACCACCAACACTCCCTTAAACGCAGTTAACCCTTTGATTGCCCCAGATGTTAACCCCTTCCTGCTCAGTGCCATTAGTACAGTGTCAGCTTTTTTTTTTTTTAAGCACTGATCACTGTATTGAAGGGGGGGGGGGGGTCACTGGGGATACCAGTGACACCAATTCAGTTCCCCCCAGTGTCAGAATGCCCGCCGCAGTCCTGCTATAAAATCGCTGATCGCCATTAGCGAAAATAAAATAAAACTCCAGTATCTATACCACCATTTGTAAATGCTATAACTTTAAACAAACCAATATACATGTATAGGGACTTTTTATTTTAGCAAAGACATGGAGCAGAATACATTTTGGCCTAAATTTTATTTTGTAAATTTTATTTACTGGACAGGTTTAATAGCAAAAAGTAAATCTTGTTTTTTCCCTCAAAATTGTCGGGTTTATCTTCTAGCGCAAAAAAAAAAAAAAAAAAAAAACCAAAAACGTACAGGCGATCAAATACCACCGAAAGAAAGCTCAACTAGTTGGAAAAAAAAAAAAAAAAAAAAAAAAAAAAGTGTATGTAAATTTCATTTGGGTGCAGCGTTGCATGACCGTGCAATTGTCACTTAATGTAATGCAGCGCCTGGTCAGGAAGGGGGGGGTAAATCTTTAGGAGGGCAAGTGGTTAAAAAATTCAGTCGACAAAAATGCTGGTGTCTACAGCAAGCAATTAGGAGCCAAATTAATTTCTTCCACATTAACAGGTATATTTCTGTACTTTTATTTAAAGGGATAATCAATTCTAGTTATATTTTAAAGAATAAAACACAGATATTTACCACTTATGTGGGGTGGAAACAAAATCCACAGCCCAACAAACACATGAATGGAGGAAAAAGCAGGATATACTTACAAGAGCTTCCACTGTGCTCAGATCCTTGATCTTGTTACCACTTAAGTTGAGGTAAGTGAGGTTAGGACACCTTTCTGCTAACACCTCCAGGCCTCCGGAGATACTGTTGTCACTGAGCTCCAACTAAAAGACATAAAACCACACTTGTCAACGTATGTTAGTGTTTGGGCCTATGAGGCAGCTCTGTTATGTAAAGCATGGATCACACAATTTTACAAATCTGAACCCAACACAGTATGAGCTTGTGCCTACCCATCTGTAGATGGGGCAGAAAGTTGAGCTTGTTTTACATAAGCAAAAAAAAACAAAAAGTGTGGCTGCGGCCATGACCCAGGTATCATTTGTTAGTGCCAGTGATGGGCTTTCCGGTAAAAGTAACCCGAGTCACTACAGCTGCCCAATCACTTTTAAATGACTTGGAAGGTGACATTAGCCAAGATTTGTTGCTATGTTGCTGCTTGAACTCGTCTCCACACAGCAGCTCTCTGAACTGGTAGCTCCCCAGCACTAGATTTAGAGTCTGTACCCAAACCCAGCTGGAATGTGCCCTTTGGACACTGGGTTCGACATTGTGGCACTTTCAACACCTTTAGCCCCTGTTCACACTCAAATCACATGTGATTCGCACAGGAATTGCACCACATTCCTTTGCATATCACATGCGATTCTGTGCAGTGCAATTTGACCCCATTCATTTTGTATGGCTCAAACCGCACATTTGCACGTAAAAGGTGCAGGCACCTTTTTTTGCCGCACCGGAATCAGATCGCATAGGTTTTCATATCCACACAATCCCATTCAGGCAAATGCAATGTGTTCTGCCACCTGCTTTGGGGTGTCCTTAACTTTTAGTTGATCCAAAAATGGAAGTTCTGCTCTTTTTTTTGGAAGATAGATGCTGTTACTTGATTTTAACAAGTACTCGCTCCCCTACTTCTGGTTGGTTTGACTCAGTGATCCAAGCTGAAGTTCACCCCCCCCCCCCGTCCAGAGGCTTTTGGGACATGTCACAGGCCCCTGAAGAATGCAGGACCATTCAGGTAGCACAGCATGACTCCTGCATGCGCAGCCACAGCTGACTGCCCAGTTAGTATGTCGGCGCCAGGGACTGAAGCACACTGAAGAAACCAGCGAGAGGACAGTGCTGGATCCTGGGTCAGGTGCACTCTCCCTTTCTCAATATTCAGGCAACAGCATGCTAGGACATGTCTTTTGTTGCTTTTTATAGGTTGTTTTATTTAAAAGTATAAACTAAAACTTATTTTTCAAATAAAAAAATGCAGCGCTTGAGTGTATAATACAGGGAATTAGCATGAATAACAGATTTAAATGTTCATATTTCAACATGCACCAGATTCCACATTCTTAAATTGTTAAAACAATAATCAGATGAGTAATGAAGATCTATCCGTCTAATCAAGGTGCATATAGTGATGGTGATGCTAAAATCATAAGTTCTGTGATGTATCCAAAGAAATCCGTGACTTCCGTGATAGGGGAATGACTGTATAATGCACTAACCAGATAGCGCAAGTACATGCGCATTGGAGTATAATGACCTACTCCTGGTCACAGCCAGATGGTCCTCAGCGTGAAGCCCTCAAGGACACCAGTGCACCACTCTTGCCGTCTCCTCCTACCACCAGGGGGGGTGCGCCTCTTTACAGTAACACGAAATCACTTTGTATCCTCTATCGCCAGGATTGGTGTACTTTCTTATCAGGAGATCATCTCAGGGGCTCAGCAATAAGACCCAAAAGAAAGAAATCTTGATAGTGTAGTATTTTATTCAAAAGTAAAAAAGTAAGTAATACACTTACATGGTAATGTCCAAAAAGCTGATGCATAGAATCCAAAAAGATGGCCGACAGTCAGATGCATGAAACCAGTGGATAATAAATGGTGTGAGAGGTGTCCTTATCCCTAACGCGTTTCGTGGCAATGGCACATTCCCTTTGATAATGTGCCATTGCCACGAAACGCGTTAGGGATAAGGACACCTCTCACACCATTTATTATCCACTGGTTTCATGCATCTGACTGTCGGCCATCTTTTTGGATTCTATGCATCAGCTTTTTGGACATTACCATGTAAGTGTATTACTTACTTTTTTACTTTTGAATAAAATACTACACTATCAAGATTTCTTTCTTTTGGGTCTTATTGCTGAGCCCCTGAGATGATCTCCTGATAAGAAAGTACACCAATCCTGGCGATAGAGGATACAAAGTGATTTCGTGTTACTGTAAAGAGGCGCACCCCCCCTGGTGGTAGGAGACGGCAAGAGTGGTGCACTGGTGTCCTTGAGGGCTTCACGCTGAGGACCATCTGGCTGTGACCAGGAGTAGGTCATTATACTCCAATGCGCATGTACTTGCGCTATCTGGTTAGTGCATTATACAGTCATTCCCCTATCACGGAAGTCACGGATTTCTTTGGATACATCACAGAACTTATGATTTTAGCATCACCATCACTATATGCACCTTGATTAGACGGATAGATCTTCATTACTCATCTGATTATTGTTTTAACAATTTAAGAATGTGGAATCTGGTGCATGTTGAAATATGAACATTTAAATCTGTTATTCATGCTAATTCCCTGTATTATACACTCAAGCGCTGCATTTTTTTATTTGAATTTTGATGAATGGGGTATACGAGGTTTACCTATATGCTAGCAGCTTGAATCCTATCATATCCAGCGCTCGTCCCTCTCTTCATATATTGTATAAAACTTATTTTTGTTTTGGATATCGAGTCAATAAAAAAAACAAAAACACACAAACTGTTGCTATCTGTGCCTCCATTACGGAGATTCACCCACTATCTGTCCTGTTTAGCATTCTTAAAAGAAAATCACAAATTTTGGGTTGTAAAGTAATAGAGGGAAAACCTTCAAATGGAGACACTAGTTCTGGTGACCTGGGGGTTCCCATGGAATTCCCTTAATTTGCAGGGATTTCCTCACTTCCGGTTTGGAACAGCACATGAAGGGAAATCTCTGCAATGGGACAGATTGTGAAAAAAAAAAAAAAAAAAAATCTGACGGGTTATAACCCTCCCTTGTTCTATTCAAAATGAGAAAGAAGTTTTGCCTACTTTAGGTTTATTGCCATCACAGAGAGCCAATAGGGGTATCTCTGTCAAGCTGTGGAAGTGATCACTTCCATGTAAAAGCCCTTCACCTACTTTACACCTTTTGGCCCATCATATTCCTGACTGCTACAATGGTTTACCAGCCACCGTTTATAAACAACTCTGGACAAGTGGGTAAGCGACACAATGCTCTAATGTCCATTATAACCTCTAGTAGATCGTATAACTCAGCAGCTGTTGTAAAGCTTTAAGCAACATTACATGTACAAGACATCAGTCATTGCCAATCACTGAACTTAGTGGCTAAACATTTGGGGGGGGGGAGAAAGCAAAAAAAAAACACAAGCGACTACTTACTTTTCTGAGTTTTGACAGCTGTGGAAGTTTTGCCAAAGAAGAAAGTTCTACGTTGGCCATGCTGAGGAATTCCAGCTCTTTCAACCCATCACTCAAACCCTCAATCTCTCCATCACTAGACCGGCAATTGTCTAAAACCAACTCTGTCACCTGTTCGGAAAACAGAAGGGTAAATGCTTACTAACAGGTGAAAGGCAGAAAACACAAATGTAATCACAGAGTAGATTGTTTAATCTGAATAGGTAAATGAAGCTGAGATTTATGAATGATTCAAAAAGGTTTACATAAAATATCAGGCTATTAACTCACCATTACTGTACTACAACATATGGAGAAAGCTCAAACTGAGCACATTAACAGATGCATAAGCAGAGGTGAAGGGCAGTAAAAAAAAAAACAAAAAAAATACCAAAAAAAAAAACACCACACAAATCAAAATAATAGATCCAGAAACAGACCGCTTATCTATCTGAATAACTTCTGCAAATGCTGAGCCTGGACAGCCACCAACACTTTTCATAGTGCTTTGACTGGCAGCTTAACTGACAGCAAGATGAAAGCAGACATCACTTTACTTTTATAGGTAAAGTCAAGTTTGCATTTAGACCCTTTTCACAGCTCAGCATTTAGCAGCTTGTAGCTCAAAAAATCTTAACAAGCAAAAATCCATTGTATTCAATAGCCCTCGTTCACATCTGAGTGTCCTGACGCTTGTAGCTGAACGCCTGTCGCCCCAACAAGAACATGAGCTACAGAATAGAGCGTTTTGAGCCACAGACTCCAATGGGAATGCCTGAAAGTGCTTGATTTGAGCGTTTTTTTTTTAGCCTAGATTACTGATCTACTCCTAGTAATTTCCATTGGCTAAAACAAAAAGTCTGACGCTTGAATACACATGTAAAATGTCCGTAATACTCAAAAAAAAAAAAAAAAAACAAAAAAAAACTCCTGTATACACTTACAAAAAAGCTCAAAAAAGGTCACAAGTCCTGAAAAGGACTCTGTGCTCGGGTGTGAAGGCAGACTTAAAAAAATTTGAAGTATAGGCAGATAACTTATTTATTTTTTAAAAAACACTCCCAGAAGTTAGTGTACTTTTCAACATACATCTGAATTTCCCATGTTTGTGACAGGCTTACTTAACCACTTGCCATCCGCCTGCTGTTTATAAACGGCAGGATGGTGGCACTCCAGGGGCGGGCTGCCGTTCATAAACGGCACCCGCATTTTCTAGCTGTGCACGCTAGTGTCCTCCGGACACTGTGGAACACCGATCGGACGGGACCGCTGTGTGAGGTCCCGATCATGTGATCACTCGTTGGCCAATCAGTGGTCACATGCAGAGTAGTAAGCAAGATGTCACTTGTGACATTGCTTGCTACGTGTGAAATCTATGATCACAGAGGTCAAATGGTATAAGGCTATTCACAACAGCCTTGTACCATGTGACAAGCTGTGACCAATCACAGCTCACACAGTAGTTCTCATTGGCTGCAAGATTGCAGCCAGAGAGAAGGAGAAAGGATTGCTTTTACAGCCTTTATGGGTGTAAAAGCAAAAGCAAACAGTGCAAAAAAAAAAAAAAAAAAAAATCTTCATCACACCCAAGTAGTACAGTGTCACCACTGCTAGGGTGACAGCATGTAAAAAAAAAAAAGTAAAAAAAATTAAAAAATTATAATTTTTTTGTTATAAACTAATTTGGGTTATTGTTTTTTCCCTAAAAAGATAAACGGAATAAATTTTGGCCAAGATTTATGATGAAATACTATTTGCAAAATTTTATAAGAAAAACACTTTCAAAATTTTTGGACTTTCATTTACATAGCAAAAAAAAAAAAAAAAATCCCAGTGGTGAATAAATACCACCAAAATAAAGCTTTATCTGTCTCAAAAAATTCATAGGGGTACAGTGTTGCATGACCGCGCAACTGTCATTCAAAGCGTGATAGCGCTGAAAGCTGAAAATTGGCCTGGGCAGGAAGGGGGTGAAAGTGTCCGGACTTGAAGTGGTTAAAAGTGGTAGTAAAGGGAAAAACCAAAAGTGCATACGACCACTTGCTTTTAGAACAGGTCCCTGCAGCGGCGCCCTCTCCGCTGACAGGGATTCCATCGTCACCCGTCTTCTTCCGGGTTTGCAGACTCTAGCCGATTAACTGGCCGAGCCGCCAGGCAGGCAAGGCACAGAGCTTTGAAGGAATGGCACGGGTATGCTGTTCCTTCAGAGCGCATGTGTCTGTGACATCACCAGCTGCTGCTCCCTGGAACATCGCCTCAACTGTCACATTTAGGAGATATTCATTCTACCTATGGGTAAGCTTACCTGTACGTAAACGTTGCAAAGTAGACTGTACTACCACTTTAAATTGACAAATTCATTTAAGAAAATTAAAAAAAAACACAAACAAAACTTGGAAACCATAACTATGGCATGGTGTGCAGTGATACTGCAGTAATACAAAGACCTCGCCTGCCACTAATAGATGCTACAACATCGTATGTAAGCTCTGCCAACATACGTGAGAGGCAACTACATCAATGCTGAGGCAGCCCCATCAGTGTAACAGGGTAGTGATTGAGAAATACAATTTAAATGGTTTGTCAGTGACATGTTAATACAATGCTGTAGTGCAACCTTTCCTGTATGAGCTGAACAGTACAGGATGCAGGGGTGTGAAATCAATCATTTATTAGGTGTATAAAGATGTGTAATTGGTATAATGGAGCACCAAAGTCAACCTTTTGAAGTTAGATGTGAACATTGCGGCTGCAGATTCTTACAGCAAACCTTTGCCAAGTGCACATCATTATACATTTTGTAGTACCACGTTTTGTGACCACAGTGCAATCTGTTTCTGAACATTCACCTGCAGCATTCCCAAGAACCAGCCAGGTATGCTGCCGTTCTGCTTCTCCTTGGCGCTCCCAGCAACACATCCAGGGCATGAGCAGGGTCTGTGCATTTCACCATTGGCAGTGGTGAGAATCCGGTGAAATATCCCTTTCCATAGTGGATACGAGGACGCAGAGCGAGAGAAAACAGAGCGTGTACCACCAGTGTAGGGAAGGGATTAAAATTACAACCACACATGTGACCCCCATCCCCTTTTAGCAACCATATGTACAGTTTTCCTCCCATGCTAGGCTCCCCCCCCCCACCCGACAAACATTATGATTCCCTCCCAGTGCACTCTCCCTACGCCGATCCTACACAGTCCAGCCCCCACCTTTCCCCTGTATAGCACCAGTACAGAATTCCCTTCGGATTGCCAGTAAACACAGACCAGACCGTTACATAGAGGGATCTATACCTTTACTGCAGCATGGACTCTCCAATATCAAGCCCTTATTAGAAGCTCATATCTAGGCATGTTTAGCTCACCACACTTGTTACAATTGGATTGTATAATCTTTAGATCTAGGGTCTGCCTGATTGATGGGGCTGGAACATGTATGTGTGTAGTAGCCTCATTGTCCAGAACAGATTAAGGTATACCTTCATATTATAGTTTTTGTAAACCTAAAGTCTCCTAGATTGTAAGCTCGAAAGAGCAGGGCCCTCGATCCCCTCATGTTTTGCATTGTATTGGTATTGTTCTGTCACATGTTCTGTCCCCCTTTGTAATGTACAGCGCTGAGCCAACTATTGGCGCTTTATAAATACTGTATAATAATAATAATTGTACGGTGAGATTGTAACATGTATGGTGAGTCAGAGACACAAGTATCATAGCTCCAGAGAACAGCACTATGCTAGCAGAACACACACGTGTAACACCTTTGTTTTAGCATCTCTGCCTCAAACAATATAGCCGCTTCATATATCTGCTCTCTAGAATAAAAAAAATAAAACCCCCACACCTATGCCATATAATACATTGCTACCAATCTTAAAATAAAAGTATTTCTGCGGTAGCGTCCCTGCCAGGATCTCAATACACATCTACAGCAAATGAAGGAGTCACAGGGTTTTTGTATCAAGTGACCTACATCCTGAAACATCTGCTGAGAGTAACAAGTCACTCATACTGGTGGAAGCTGACAGCCGGCACGCGGGGGCTGCAAGATGATCGCTTCAACAGCAGCTGTCCAAGCAAGCAGGGGCATTATTAAAAGATTACTATACCTCAAGCCACACACAAAAACATCAATGAGTAAAGCAAGGCTGCGGCATTCAGTGTAGCCTTTAACTGTATGACAAAGACAGCTGAACTGCACAAAAACCTTTAAAAAGAATCTGATGGAAAAAGTTGTGACCGCTGACACTTGTCAAGCAGGAGACTCGGGCATCTCAAAATTATATATATATATATATATATATATATATATATATATATATATATATATATATATATATATATATATATATATATACATATACATATATATATATACACACACACACATACACACATATACACACACATATATACACACACACATATACACACACACACACACACACACACACACATATACACACACATACACACACACACACACATACACACACATATATACACACACATATATACACACACATATATACACACACATATATACACACACATATATACACACACATATATACACACACATATATACACACACATATATATACACACACATATATACACACACATATATACACACACATATATACACACACATATATACACATCTTTAACTAGGCTGCTGTGAGTTGTACTCTGGCAGACCAGTGCTCTGCTGGACACTGATAGGAGTCACAAGACTGCTATATACAGCCGATAAAGGTGTTTAGCGGTTTATATTTATTACATTAACTGCATTTCTATGTTGTGTGTGGTGGGAGACCAGATAAAGTGAAAACAAAGTCATGGGCTTAGTAACACTTTAAAGTAAAATAACAAAAAAAACTTTTTTTTATACACACAATTGCCAAAAGTATTGGGACCCCCTCCAAATCATTGGATTCAGGTGTTCCAATCACCTCCATGGACACAGGTGTATACAATCAAGCCCCTAGGCATGCAGACTGCTTCTACAAACATTGGTGAAAGAATGGGTCGCTCTCAGGAGCTCAGTGACTCCAAGCGTGGTCCCGTGATAGGTGGTCACCTGGTCAATAAGTCCATCCGTGACATTTCCTGGCTACTAAATATTCCACG